CTAATTTAATTTGGTGTTCAATGTGTTCCATATGTGTTTGATCCAATGACCGGGGTAGTAATGTGAAGCGCTTAAGGGCCTTGTAAATGCATGAAGCGCTATATAAGAACGACATATTATTATTATTATTAATAATAACAACAATAACTTTTAAAAAACGAAATTTTTATACATTAAAAATTAACGTAGGCCTATTTTTCATGCGTTTTAATAAGCGGATGTTGATGCGTACATACAGAACAATGATTGAAAATACAGAACAACACACAATGAAATACAACAATATTCACTCACAACTTTGAACTTGAACAAATTGAATATAGGCCTATCGATTGGTAAGATTTGCGAGAAAAACTTCAACTACCCGTATTTCTCGACTGAGACGCCAATGCGAGCTATAATTTGTATGGCGAGGAGATGGTGCCACCCTTAATTGGTATTAGAAAAAATTTCGTCCACAAACCTTGTAGTTATTAATATTTTTTTATAATAGAAAATATATTTTTTTTTGGTGACGTCACATTCCTGATATACTGAACAAGACGTCATAAGATTACGTCACCTTTTCTTGGCAAGGCAAACTTTCCCGGCGTGCTCTTTTCATGGATATCATAAACGGCACTGTTTCCACCTTGGCCTACAGGAGAACCATTGTTGGGTGACAAGCCGCATTGTTTCCATTGAAAAACAAGGTAGGCATATGTCTGTAACTGATTTATTCTTATTTCATTTTTTTGGTTTTATTTTCATTTATTTCTTTCCAAAGTGCACTTTCTGTGACATGTAATTGCACTGTCTACTTAGGCCTATGTATGGGGGATGCTAGTCTAGGCCTAGTCTTAAATAACTAGTAGTAGTAATAAATTCCCCTGCCGTGCCCCGCTGCACAGTACTGTACATCAGTAGGGTAGGCAGAGCTTGATCTTGATCTAGGCCTAACCAATTATACTTACCGACCCCCCCCCCCCAACGGTACAGAACAGACGTTTGCTAGCCAACAGAACTTGATATTTATTGCACCTTCTTTCCCAAGTCGAGGGCTGTAATATTCCATGTGGTTCTGATATTTTCTGGTTTGCTAGTATGCTACGTAAATTACTTCTAAAAATTCATTAGTTTCATTCCACAACACGCACATTGTTTCTACATTCTTTCATTACATTAATAATGTTCTAACCGAAAAAATTACAATTCATTTCTTAGGACAGTAATTGCAACCATAACAGCCAACAGAAATAATAATGCGTAGTGAACACATAAAATAAACAATCACGGACTCTGTTGTTTCATGGTTTGTGTACACCACTCATTTTAAAATTTCTTTATTCTCTTTCTGTTGTTCTTTCTTCATTATCTGTGTATTGTTGTAACAACAATGTTTTTTGCCACTTCATCCCGGATATGTATATTTCATGTGGTTCTGATATTTTCTGGTTTGCTAGTATGCTACTTAAATTACTTCCATACATTGTTTTTACATTCTTTCATTACATTAATAATGTTCTAACCACAAAAGTTATGATTCATTTCTTAGGACAGTAATTACAATCATATATTTCATGATTACTACTAAACCTCAAAATACATTTACAATTGTATATTTCAATTAAATTTCACTGCGAGCTTGCACAAATTTGAATTGATTTCAATGTTCATGTTTAAGAAGCTTCTACATTATTCTACGAAAATTCTTGTGTCCATTTTCCGCTTATTAAATAACGTTGATATGTCTAATTTACTCATTTAATAATTAATTCTATGTGACTTGTAAATAAACCAATTCAACCATGAATTGTTGGTGCAGGCTTTCGAAATTTTTCATACAGTGATTAAACTAATGCAAATACTACTGATTGGCTATGTTTTTACCACACACTGACATCACATTCCATTTTAAATTTCCCTCAGTCAGTGTTCTTTCCCAGAAACAGTTTACTACTGCTTCATAATACAGTCCACATTGCAAAGCTGTTGCAGTCTCCATTACTTCCTCATATTTTGCTATCTCTCGTTATCATACGGTTATCATACTAACAAATACTTATATTCAAATAGAACATATTTGTTCCAACATATTTACATTGACATGACACTTTTTCCTATTTCACTCAATCAAAATAACTGCAATAAATCATTCTTCGACAAATTGTTGGTGTCAGTACACATTGAAATTCAAATTTACACACATTTGTATTAATTTTTGTTTAATATTTCACTACACTTTCCTCTATATCTTCAGACGATGGTTTCCCTTGCAAACTCAATTCACTTCATCACAATTCTTTTCACAAAAAACATTCCATTTTTCCTCACTTTACAACCCTCGTGCTGACCTTAGTACACTGCGACACTGTTCCTGATATTGCGACATTGTCATATTACTGTGTCATTCTATAAAGGCATAATGTATATCATAGTACTAAGTAATCATAGCATTCTTTTTATACACATAGGTACTTCCACATGACACTTCTTGCACTTTACTCGAAATAACTATTACCATTGTTACCAGAAGAAGTATTGGTACAGCTTACAGTACCTTGCATACCACACCTTTTACAAATTTCATTTTGTAATTCACTATATTTCCACATCATCTAGTTTCAAATACACTCTGACCATTAGCAATGTTGATTTCCTTTAAATTCCTAAACCTAATATCACCTATAATGACTTGTGGTTACAGATCTCCCATACTTTTAAATATTATTCCTACTCATATTTATTCTATTCACTTCTTTATTCATATACATACTGGATCTACTACTATTAGGTGAAACCTTTACTTATTGTACATATTTCATTTTGTATTTTCAATTAATGGTAATAACCAATTCCTACGATGATTGTCTGATAGCCTCAAATAAAAAGGCTTTTTGCTGAAGAATGCTCTACCCTTTTAAAAATGCTTTGACCTATTTGTCCACACATCTCTGCCATTTCATAATTTAATAATTTCTACATATTTAACAGAAAAAAAAATCTGTACTTTCATTTTTAATAATGAACAAGTGTAAATCATTGAATGTCCATTTCAATGATTGTGTCAAATATTTATTCATCACTAAAATTACAGCAGTATGGTACATGAACCTCCTTTCAAAATAGCCCTAGTTATCAAGTTCACTTGCAGTAACAGTTTACATTTACTGGACTGAAATTACTTTGGTAACATTCACACATGAACTGCTTCCTTCACAGTGACAGTTCATTCACTTCCTGCAATCACTATTAAACTTCAAGATTTACAGACCAATGCTTTCATAAATGCATACAATTCTTTTTCATTCTGCATTTCAACATCTCCATACCACTATTCAACACTTGAAAAACCCAAACTATCTACTAATATTTCCATGTAATTCATAACATATCTACAACAATCCAGTTATTACTTTTGCGTAATATTACATTCCATTTTCAAAATTGTTCCTTTTCCCTTTTTGGATTTGTTTCCATTTTTTTATTTTATTCCACAATATTTCATGAAGGTTCTACATTCAATCAAAGCTCATCCTCAATATACAACTAACAATAGCTTAAATAACATAAATTAATTACCTCATCCATATTCCACATTCGTTCATTACAGACACATTGTACAAATGTCACTGCTACTTTCGTCAGGTTAAGGCATTTCCACCGGCTACACCATGTCACATCACTGACAGCATTATATGCACTTCCAACTGCTATTAGCTAAAACTAACACTTGATAGATAAATACCGTTTTGTTGTTGCTCGTGTGTGGTTTCAAGTTATGTGTTCGTCTCACTTTTGCACAATCCAACTACAACAAATAATTGTAATAAAATGTGCACATACTAACATATGGAGCAGGTGCATTGTGGAAATTTACATAATCATTACAATAATGTAAACATACACGACAAAGTGGATATTCCCTATTTGGAAATTTGTATTATTTTGTAACCAATTATATTTACTCATAATATTACTCTTTTTTTTCTAAGCCACTTAACTTCCTCCAATTATTTTACTCCTTACAGAATTACTTGTGTACACTTTGAGGTTCGACATCTTCTCCACGTTTTCCAAGTACTGGTGCTTTTGTGACAATAACACACATTTGAGCTCAAGCTGTACTCCTACATTAGGTTCATAGCAACAATTTTGTCATTTTCATCCAACAATAACCATTGTCACATATTTACAGAAATCTGTCCATTACTTCCATTAAATCCATTAGTATTTTTTAACTACATGGCTATACCACTTCCATGAATTTGTTCAATATGTCATCGATCACCTACATACGAATATCCAATACTATTCAGCACCTTGTTCTTACTTCATACAATGGCCGAATAGTCAAAAGGCAATTTGGTGACAAGACCGGTATGGTTCCTGGCAAAGCAGTCTGTCAACAGTGCAATAACTTTGTTTGCCCACAAACACGTCACCAAAATAAGTGCCCTTTATTGTCACATGGCTGGCCTGCTGTCGTCTGGACTTGTCTCTCAAAACCCAATTACACTGATCCCACCTCCCTGATGAAATTTCTCCCACTGTCAATTCTAGGCTCATGGGCTCCAGTATTGCATGAATGGCTACCTTGTATGCAAAATATTTCCAACACTGAACCTGTATTTCAAGATCTCACACACACTATTACATCATTTCAGAATGATATCCACAGTGGCGAGTTAGGCCGTATTACAACTGTTTTAAATAAGCATCCATATCCTATTGTACGTTGCCCCATTGGCTGCTTTATGTTCATCGATGACCTGATGAGAAACAAACTACAGCCATTTTCAGCTGCACACTACCTAGCAACAATATGTTCTCAATTTCACTCCTTTCAAGCAGATCAACACTTCCTTACTGGTGCTCGCACCGATTGGACAATTCCATATCACGACTTGTAGTGGCGTGCAGCACCTAGTATTTTAGTGGATGACAATGTTGGTCTTGCTGTATTAATGTGCACAGACATTATCCACTGTAACTCAAAAGTCCCTCGACTGCATATTCCTACTAATCCAATCCTACACAATCTTGCGCCATCGGCTCCTGATGTCCTAGCACCTGCTGTCGTGTCCAGTAATATCTGTCGTGCAGGCAGGACTGGTACATACAATACATCATTTCCCGTGTACAATCTGATTGGCAACACAGGCATTCGACATTCAGAATTGTACCAAAAGTTGAAACTTACAATTCTACTTGTGACGACATTGCTCTGGCAAAGGCTTTGGTACTGCAACATCGTCCCGACATACACCACTTTGTTCAACAATCTACACATCTTGTAAATACACTACAGCCATTGATTGACCACTATAACACTTCACAACATCCAACAAATGATGACATTGTTAACCATCGTAACACGGGTACATATGTTGCCTTGGAGGATGCTTTTAATGTCCTTAGTATATACAATAGGTTATACACCAAGACTGATCATACTCAGCAAAATACCACAAATTCTCCAAAACCATCACACTGCTTTATTCCTGTACACCCACCATCAAACACTGGTCACAAATTGTATTCACTTGATAAGACTCAATACCCTGGAACTCAAGACCATCATCTTGGCCCTGTTCTCTATTCGGTACTAATGGCTTTCCTCAATAGTACCCACTTGCACCAAGCATTGCTAAATGCTCACTGGGACAATCCAAATGCCAACGATGGCCGCAAGAAAATACTCACTGCAGTA